TGAGGAGTTCAGGAGAGTTCAGTTTGTCACCAGATCTCCAATGGCTATGCTTATTAGTAACTTAAAGCTCAAACTTAGAGACATTCAGGCTGATTTTACTCCTCTTTCTCTATCTTGAACCTTCACTCCCCACTAAGCTTGCTAAAACTTCATTCAACATAACTGAAGACTTATTCTTCTCCTAATTCCTTGTGATATCCTGCTAAGAGCATCCAGTGTTACAGTTCCAGCATAATTATATTTTCCCATAGGTGTAAAACATGTCTGCATCAATAGCTTATTAAAAGAGTGTAATAAAAATTATGACCCCACAATTCTGCTACTAATATAACAATTCCAAGCCAAGAAAGCTCCTTGATCCTTCTTATGCATCTGCTGTAATGTGGTACAAGAGCAGAACGCTGTAAGCCAGTTTAATCCCTTCTTTTCACCCCCTAGCAATATACATTGGCCCAAGAGAGTAACATGAATTGGAAGTTTAATTTATTAATATGCAATAGTGATAATGTCAAAAGAACAATATATAAAGCCCACACAGAACAGGATTACATGGTACATAGGGGAAAGCCTAGAGCTAATATTTAATATAGCAAAACACAGCCAAAAATAACTTCTCTTCCAAGGAGCAAAAGAGGGAGAGCTCTGCAGGTGCTGGAGCAGAGGAGCTGTGCAAGCAGCCTCTGCCTTCAAGTGCACAGCTGGACCCAGCCATCCATTTCTGGCTGAGCTTCCTCTCTGCTGGGAGCCACAGAGATCGTGGTGCTTTCCACGAGTGCAAACTGTTGGGCAGTGACTGAAGTTCCCAGCTATCACTTTGTCTACTTTAAAGTTTCTCACTGCTCCAGTTTAACAGTGCACACTAGAATCAGAGCAGCAGACACAAGCAACACTGGTGGGGAGCAAGCCACAGCAAAAGGGGAGCCTCAGAGCTCAGAGCACTTCTGCAAGTGAAGCATGAGACCAGCTGTTCACTTCAGCTAAATTGTTCACTTAAGCTTGGATGAGCAAAATTTCACCAGTAGACAAAGTACCCTGCAGTTTTAGCAGAGGTACAGCCACATTAACATGTCACTGGCTTTGCCAGAAATGAGCAATTTGCCCAAGAGTCTCAAATCAGTAACAGTTGTATGAGTGGAAAGCTATTCAGCCTCTTAGGGACTGGCAGGTTTCACACACTTCCTAGAGTTTGCTTTCCTACTCCTTCCCTAAAATGAACAAGGACTACCGAGGGTTCAGTGTACAGCCAGGAGAGCAGACCTCAGTCTTGGAGGACAAGTTGAGAGAGGGGTGGGATGGGGGCTCCCTGGCTTCCCTGCAGGTTTCCTACTCTGCCACACATTTCTTAAGTGGTGAGATGAGGTCCAAGCTGACCGTCTGTCCTGTCTGCTGCTTGGCACTGTCACCTCCCTGTACACACACACCAAAGAAACTGCAATAGCAAACAAGTACCTGGTCAAAATATGGGACCTACTTGTCTCTGTTGATTGAAGAGTGTAGGTCTGGCAGCCAGGCCTCTCTTAGCTGTTGTGTCTGTAGATTCATCCCCTGTCTGATTCCTCTTCCAGCCTTCCCCAGCTCTAATCTGCTTTCTGTCCTTCCCTTTGCTGGAGTTGATTGCCCTTTTCATGGCGTAGTCTGATTTAGAAGAGCCGGGTCAGCTCAGCAAAGCTCTGCTGCTTGAAACTAACTCATCTCCTCTTGAATGCCACACAAGATGCTCGGCTCTTATACAGCAATAACCTCTAAAATTCAGGAGGAGGCTGTGGAGACAAGAAATGAGGGCAGACCAGGAAACCTACCTCTCAGCTGAAACCCCAGCAGCTGGGAAAGACTGTGCCCACAGCCTGGCTCGGCTGCATGCTGTAGATCAGAGTCCACAAGCACAGCAGGAGAAGAAAAGCTGTTGGGGCTGTCCTGCCAGCCCCTTCCTGAGGAGGGATAGATAGAGGAGGATGTCTGTAGCAGCGGTTCTTGTATGAGTTTGTTGTCTCCAAAGTTTTCTCACTGATGCTTTTCAAGTGCCAGAGCCTGGGCAGGTTAACACAGGTCACAGCTGCCCTGTGTGGAGGTGTCACGTCATGCTGCCTGGTTTTTATACATGAGGCTTCTGTGATTTATTTGCTGCTTCTCTCAAAAGCTTTATTTCTCTCTAGTTGGCTAAATTAATGTATTTGTAGTAGTTCAAAATGGGTGACTAAGAGCAGGCTGGGCCCCTGGCTGAGTGGAGGAGGAGCGCTTTCCCCCTTCTGCCAGGAGAGAGGGGTCAGGAAGAACCATGTGTCTGTCTGGCCTCTGCAGACTTTCAGGGCCTTTGTGATATTCTCCTGCTTTCCTCCTGTGGTTGCCATAGCTCTGTAATTTCCTGTACTGTCATGATTTTTTTTCTTAGCTTTATTTTGATACCCATTAAATCTGTGACTATATTTTACTTTGCTCAAAGCTTAGTGTAGTGCATGCCAGGGTTTTATCAGCAATAGTTAGTGCATTGGACTGACACCCAAGGGAAAACCAAGGCTCCAAAGAGGAGGTTTGCCCAGGGGTTTACATATAATATGTGGGGCAAGTGCCAAGGAAGCTGTGGGCAAGGAGAGGACCAAGTCACTTGGAAGGGCAGCTGTGAATGCTGTGTTCACAGTAATACAGTTCAGAGCAGGGTGAGTTATGCCCAACATCAGGCTTGTGTAATGGGTAAAGCTTTTGCTGGACAGAAAGTAGAGTGGTTGTACCTGCTCCACTGACCACAGGGACACGAGGCTGGAAACAGGTGCATCTCACTGGCAAAGTGAGTTTTATATCAGTGAGCCCCAGGTTGGTTTCCTTCCTCCATCATTACGTAAGGAAAAAAGTTGATTTGCACAGTTTCTGTGGTTTTAAATATCTCATTATGTTGCATCAGTCAGATGTGGGGATATGATAGATGGGGTGAAAAAGAAATGTGTGAGACAGAAAATGAAGAAAAGTGCCATCCCATCAGTACAAATGATTTTGCCCTGGGCTGAAGAGGGCAGGAGAGAATGACAGACAAGAGCTCAACCAGAGCTGAAAGGTGAATCTGAACCAGAGGAAAAAGGAGGGAGTGAATCTTCAGTAAAGGAAAAAAAAGATTAAGGTCTGACCTAGATACAAGGATCATTCCTATCCTGCTCCCCATTTGCTAGGTCAGGGGAGGTAATGAGAACAAGACATCCCTAGGACTCCTACAGAATTCTTCCAAGGTTTTGAGCCCACATAAGGAGGCTCATAGGAAACACAAGGTAGCTGTGCGGCACCACGTGTGAGCTGGAATCTGCCTGGGTACTGGGTCAGGTTCAGGGGATCTAAACCTGTTCACTGTGTGTCCCCATTCCTCAGCTCCTCCAACATCAGGAAAAAGCCAACAGGCAGAGGATGGTGTGTGTGTGGAACCACGGGTGACTGTTCTGTCAGCCTGCAAGCGAGACGCTTTTACTCAATGCTGCCTTAACAGCAGCACCTCAGCTCCCACCGTGCTCAGGATCTGACCTCCTCAGCTCTTTTCATGTGCTTTTCCCCTGCCCTGGGAAGGGTCAGGCTCTTGCTGTTGCCCATTTCAAAATAAGGGTGTGTAGCTCAGCTGAACAATGTACCCTAATGACAAACTGCCAGTAGGTGATGAGTTTAAAAATATCAAGAGATACGACAAGAAACAGCAGAAGAATTGAACTAGGAGTAATAAAATGAGGTTGATAAAGGAAGAGCCACCTGAAAAGTCTCCTGGGAGGTCTGCTATGCTGAGGCATGGCCTCTTGGATAAATGTGAGCCTTTCTACAAAACCATTTATAAATTATGTGAACTCTTTGCTTTTAAAAGCCTCATAGCAGAGACTGCCATCCATATCAAGTCACCTGTTAACTCTTGATATTTCCAGCCTCCTTTCTTTGCCTCTTGCCAGTACCCTGATTACAAGGCTTTCTTACACTGTTATCTAGTCTTATCTGGCCCAGCAAGGCATGCCCTGTATGGAGCTTATCCGTAAGAAATTTTTAAAAATTTATTGCTCAAAATTCAAACCATTTTACTTGGCCTTTGCTATTATGTTTGTATCCTGGATTTGGGGTAAAATTTTAAATGTGCTCAAAGTGACAGCTAAATTCCAGCTTAATTTTTAGAAGTGACTCTTGGATACATCATTCATGGTAAATTCAAACCATTTGAATTTGGGTCCATTTAAATTCTGGACAAGGCTGGGATCACACATACCTCCAGGCCTGGGTCTCTGTAACTGAATCCAGGCCTTTGTGCTTAAACTCTCTAGTGTGAACTGTGAAGGAAAAACATGCACATGGACACTGTTGATAAAACCTTTGGGTACTTGAGGGAGATCTGTTTCAGTAATGTTAGGGGTTTTTAATGGAAAAACATTTTACATTTGTTTTTCACTGGTCTTTAGAGACTGACAGTGAACACAAACCCCCTCACATATAACAGGAAAAGAAACCTTTTATCTGCTAGTTTTTTTTAAAACATGACACACAACACTCTTTACCATTCTGGAATTAGAGAAAGCATTAATTCGATCAATTTAAGTGATGGATGCCCACAAAATGAAACTTTTTTTCTGGAATGATGACCTTGGGCAGATTAGAGCAGCTAGGTAAGAAATCCAGCAAGTATTTATCAAAGGCTTCTAAGACAGTGCAAACTCTAGTGAGTTCAAAAGCAAGAGACTTTCAGTCTTCATACAACTGACAGGGTCATAACGTTTCAAGAATGTCAGGAATCCATGTGGCTGTTCCATTAAACACCCCTGATTAGTGAACGTGCTGATAAACTTAGAGAGTCAGAGGTCAACATTTCGGAGCCCAAGGTACCCCAGGTATCTGAAAAAGTCTCCAGAATTCCCGTGCCTCTCGCCCAGTTAACCCCTTCTATCACGGCAGCCGTAGAGGCTTAAAAATGGGAAGAGAGTGTCTCTCACACAGCATTTTCCAAACCATTCTGCAGAGATGTAGAGTTACCCTGAAAACTATGGAAAAATTACCTCAGGCACCTCCCATGGAAGAGTTCATGACAGCTGGCTGCTCTTTGATTTCAGCTCGAGCTCAGAGTCAGTAAAGGCATAAAACCTGTCGTTGCATTGGCTCATCCAGCTCTCTCCCCTCGCCTCTGGGTGATACTGTGATGGCAGCAGGCTGTGCATGAAAATACCCCCAGAGCTATCACATTGCAAACACCACAGTGGTTTCAAAATACTCAGGAGCAGTCACACCACCCTGTCACTGCACTGAGCTCTCCGCTCTGCCCAGGTTTTGTTGCAAGAGCTACAGCTCTTACTCCTGCCAAGTGCCTGTGGCAGGCAATTGGGAAATCTGTGACAATATGGGCTGTATGCCTGAGCGTCGCTTGCGCAGGGCATTGGTTTCACTGCAGCACAATCAGGAGAGTCCCAGGAAGGCTGAATTATCCCAGCAGTTCCCCTGGGTGTTAGCCCATTTTCCAGGCAATTGCCCTAACTGGCAAGCCCCTTCATGGACGCTGTTTCTGCCTCAGTCTCCCAGGCAGAGATGCAGAGTTTAACTGGTCCTGCGATGTATGGCTTTTCATTCCACGTGCTGATTATGAGCTGCTGGAGGCACTAAGCATTTGTGGCTGCTGAGGGCCACAGCGTGACCCCATCAGTTTCTTTGAAAATCAATAGGAAAAATGTTGGAGGATGCAAAGGAAGCAGGAACAGTCAAAGTAAAGACAAGTGATGTCCTGTAATGGCTGTAATGATTCTGAAATACACAAGGTCACAGATAATCAGGAATCTAATTCTCCTTTGAAAGAATCTGTCAAGTTACTTCCCTACCTCAAAAACAACTGCTGATTGATGTTATTTATGGGCTAGCAAACTCATTGAAGGCAGTCTGAATGGAGGTTGTACAGCCTTTACTATCCAGGTGGAGTTAGGTAGCCTCAGCTGTAGAAAAAAAAACCAAAAAAAAAAACAGGTGAAGAGGTTTTCATTGTTGCAGTAAAACACACGGATAGGATGTGTTTCAAAAAGTGCCAACACCGCTGCAAGCCAGAGCGCAATGCAACAGTTCTGTTAATCAAACTCTCAACAGTTTAGGCTTGAGTGATCTCCCCATTTAGCTGCTTCACTGTGCTGCAATTGTTCAGAATTGTTGTGAAGCGGGGAAAAGGACCCAGGAAGGATGGAGGTGCCTTGGGACTGGGCAGAAGTGTGCAGAGAGGTCAGGGCTGGGCAGGCACTTGCATGAGCCTTACAGAAGAAACCAACATTTGGAGCTCTTTGTCAGGGTACATTGCTCAGTGTAGCTTGCAGGTAACACCTCAGGAAGAGGATGCTGAGCTCTGCAGGCTGTACCTGGGAGGATTTTGAAGCCAGTTTGTAGCAACATGCACCCCAACAAGCTGCAAAGCAGGACAATCTATAATCTAACACTAAATGTCAAACCCCTTCTTCTCTACCAGTTCTACCCAGCTGCTTTTTGATTTTATTTCAAATTGTAAAGAGCAAGGCAGAGCTGTTTCCTGTAAAAGTTAAGAAAAAGGTTTATAACAAGCAACTGGGCTAGTTGACAAGAGGGGCTTTTTTCCCTGGACTGTGTGTGTGCTTGGAGCTGGTGGTGAGGGAGCTATGGCAAGGATCCAGATCCAAAGCAACCTCCAAACAGTACAGATGCAAGGCAAATTCGGACTTCAGCACAAGTGCGGGTGTCAGCTCAAAATGTATAATGCAAAATCAACTCACAGCTCAAAGGCCAGGGCCACAAGCAGGGAAGAAGCAACCCCACAACTCACAAATCTCAGGATTAGGCTGAATGGCAAAGTCAGCCAGCAGAAGGAAGAGGCCATATGAACCTCTCATGTAGGTGTAAGTTAAATGCATTGTAATTGTGAACTGCATTGTGAGAGGTTTCTTGTAATGAGGGGTCTTAGAGTTTGTTGGGTTGGGGTTTTTTTTAAAGCTGGTCCTTAATTTTTTTTCACAGCTATTTCAACCTCAGCAAGCTCCTAGACCTGAGGGGTGATGGGTGGTCCTTCCAAAGAAAGAGCAGGGCAGCTACACTTGGTTTGATCATTTTAATTTCAAATATGTGGGGTATAGAAAGACCATAAGAAAATGTAGTTGCAACAAGAAGAAGGGAACATATGAAAATATGTGATGAGTGAGATGTGAAACTCAGGCAAAGATGAGATTTTGGCTGGCTCCAGCTGGGTTCAGCTGCCCTTAGCACTGAGGATTCAATGCAACTCAAAGAAGAAATTCCAAATTCCAAACACAATAAAAACTTTTGTTCAAAATGAAGTTATTTCTTCAAAGTGACAGGCAAGAATTTACCTCAACTCTAATTTATACAACTTGGATGTCTAGAAAACAGAGACATGAATAGTGAGATAGACAGTAAACATTGTGATGTCTAAACCTCCCTGGATGGTTATGAATTACAAATTATGTATTTGCTCACATCCAGGTATTATTTTTGGCAGTGAAATTGCTCATGGCATGTTATTTTGTTATCTAGATTTTTCTACCACTCGAACAAGAACTTTGAAACAGCAAATATGGTCAATATCCAGTGCAGGCACAGCATTGCCAGAGCACATGAAAGTCTGTTCTGCCAGAGCAGTGCTGGGGTTCTGACAGGACAACTGTCAACAGTCAAGATCCAATGATGTGTTGTGTGTCACGTGTGTGCCTGTCCCAGCAATATCCTGTTTCATCAGCATTTACCCTTTTCTGTCCCTCTTATTATTCAAAAGTGTTTTAAAGAAAGAAGTTCTTATAAGGGGCAAGCATAACTTTCACTCCAGCATGAAACATTTCAAGTGCTGGTGTTGCTCTGTTCGTAGTAGACTCTGTCTCCTTCTTCCCAGCACTGAAGTATCTGGAGCCCAGATTTGTAGTCAAGATTTCAGGCACATTTTTGTGGCCTCCTAGTTCTTATTTAGTTTTTCAAAAGAAAAAGGAAAAAGCTATTTTAATAATCTGACCTGCATTTTAATAATTTCTAATGTCTCTGGTATCCATCCAGATGTGGTTTTGCCTGCCTGACCCTCCTGTCAATACTTATTAATTTCATGACAATCTTTTCAAGTGTGTTTGGAAACAAACAGGGAAAAGTTACTCTAAGGTCAAGAATGAGCCAAGAGAGGTGAAACAGGAATGATCATGCTCAATACAATAGAGAGCATGATATTTCTGCAGCTTTTTCTATCTTGCTCTTAAAGTGATCTCTATGCATGGATCAGCAAAGCATCCCTGCAGAGGGAAGTTGCTGAGTCCTGGAGATGAGAAGAGGAACCAAGACATCTTACCAAAGCAAATCAGTGAGTCAGTGGCAGAACTAGGAGGACCAGGACTTTAATCCTTCACAAGATCTTCTGATGGACAAGTGAAACATGGATGTCTCAGTCAGTGTGAGGGCTTCGATTGTGTAAATAACTGTGCATTGGAATAACCTGGGGGAAAATTGGTGTAGAAAAACTTGGGAGTCAAAAAGGCAGCAGGACTGGTGAGGCTGAAGTGTCCACAGTGTGCAAAGTGCTTAAACAGAATGGTAGTTTCTTGCTTTGATACACTTACCAAGTTCATGTAAACCAAAATGCTAATTATTTGAACCTAGAAACTTTCTTTGTTTTCTTTGAAAAAAACAGAGGAGAGGCAGCTTATTTTGGGGTTTCACTGTTGTGCCCTGTTGGTACAGCTGGAGAGACTTCAGATCTTCAAAGGAAAAGTGGAGGAACACCAGCCAGAGCTGGATGAAGTAAAGGATGGGGTGTCAGTAGTCCTGGATGAAGCCTGCCCCAGCTCTGTCAACAGCTGCAGTGTTGGCAAACATGGACTCTTCTCCCTGGAGTTTCTCCTGTGGAAATGAGGGTGCTTGCCATGGGGCTGGGGAGGGTCTTTTCGGAGCCTTTTCAGTATGGTGAGAAGCACTTCTGAGGACAGGGCGGCCAAGCCTGGGCTGGCAGTAGCACAGAGCCTCTGCGAGGAGGCGGCGGAGCGAGCGAGGCTCCGCGGGGCTGCCCGGGCCGGCGCAGCGGGCGGGAGCCCATCCCCGGGGCGAGCGCCGCAGCTCGGAGCCAAGCGAGACCACCGGGGCTGAGCCGCTGCGCCGGGGAGGGGCGGG